GCAGAAATAGTTACATTCAGACATTCATATAGATTTACAATTATATTTACAACTAAAAAGGGGAAGAAGGCTATGAAATATGGAAGTAAAAAAAAAAAAAAACATGTTGCTCCTTTAAAGTCCCATTTCTGTAATTTCCCATAAACTTCCTTGTAATTGAAATCAAATAATTACTTGAAAAACACAGATTTTGATTGAATAGATGAAAGACAGACATCCTTAATACTGATATAATTACCAACCTGTCAGTAGTCTTAAACTTTGAAACTTTTTGTAGTGAATATGTGGGAAAGTTTAGAGGAAAACAATTATTGGACAGATGCAAATCAAAGTCTTGGTGCAGCACATGTTTTCTCTCCAGATGAGGAAATAAACGAATGGATTTAATCTGTTTCTTGGATTAATTCAAACAACATCAGGTGAAAATGAAATGAAAGCGCTGCAGAGGAAATGCTTTGACGACTTGGAGTAGACTGAGGGAGGGAAAAAACTGTCGCACCAACCAGCTGTCAGGAGCGCGTCACGTTCACACGATGGATGGAGGAATAAAGTTCTAAACCATATTAATTGCTTTTGTGTGCATCACCTTCTGTCTCAATCTATTGTATTCTTAAACTCAACTCAATTCAGCTCAATATGTTTTTGTATAGCCCTAAATCACAACAGCAGTCTCCACAAAATCAAAGAATCAAATGGTTCGAACACAGGAAATAGTAACAAACACTTTGGTTCATGGGAGTGGACGAACAATACCCATAAAAGTTAATTGTTATAGTATTTGTAAAGCACTTTTAAAACAGCACAGGCTTACCAAAGTGCTGTGCAGACAAGGCGATTAAAAAGAAAAAACAGCACAATAAAAATACAGAAATATATGTACACGTAAAAACCCAAAAACTTGTCACTTTCTACATGGTATTAAAAGCCGAAGAAAAAAAGTGCGTCTTAAGCAAGTATTTAAAGTGCTCGAGTTTGTTGATAAATGTCCTTAAATGTGTCTTAAATGACATCATTGTAATGGACATAGTGCCTCACCTGTACTGTATCCACTATACTGTATTTATAAAGCAGGTTTCATAAACAGTTTCCAAAGTGCTGCACAGGAAATTTTAATATACAGTAATAATTAAAGTGTAAATCTTTACAATTGTGATCCAAGTCTGCCAGCTTTAAGTCAAATCAATATATACCAAAACTTAAAAGATTTTTCAGTGATATAGAATTTGTAAATTTCTCCATTGTGAGATCAATCAAGTTTATCTTATCTAAATCAATCTTATCTTATCAAATCAAGTTTGAAACTCAATACAGCCGTAGATATTTAACTCAAGTTTTTTTTACTCTTCAATTAAGAAAACGTTGGCTATAATTACAACAGAATAAATACACATAAATACAATAAATAGGCAAAAGAATGTACAGTAAGTCCCCTATGAGTAAGTACAAAATAGTTGTAGGGTTTGTGTTCTGAGAAGCATGAGGCACAACACAATATCATATTAACCATTTATTTAGAATTGTCCCAAACATCGGGATCATGATACGTGAACTGTCTAATGGAGTAGCTCACTGCCATATTTGATCCGAAAAAATGACTCTCCACGGGAAAGTTTGGAGATCCCTGTGTTACATTATTGCACATACATGTACGACTCCAGTACATTGGAATGAGGTTTAATAAGTCTAAAAACTTGAGATCATTATGGCTTTCTACATTTTTTGGGAGTAAGGTTGTTGGTAACAACCGACAAAAAATCATAAACTCTACATCTGTCACGTCAAAACTGCAAAAAACAATATAATTCAATGAACACAAATCCAAAAACAAAATTCAACTGGATGTAAAACACAAGAACTGAGGACGAAGACAAGAACCGGGGAAAAAATACTTAATGTACTCTCAACAAGAAGGAAAGAGCATGGGGAATTTAACTTTAACAGGGGAAACTCAAAAAGACACAGTAGAACAGATTATACAAAATAAAACAGGAACTAAAAAGGACATTATCCTCATCCCATCCTATTGAATCCAAAGCAACAAATACTTAATGCTCATGAAACCTATTTTGAATGTATTTTGTGATGGACGATAACAGCATTTTTTCCTTTAGAAATGGAGTAAAGACTAATAACTGGGACAGAATGAGGATAACATTATCTGTATGTCGTTAGCTTAATGGATCTAAGCCGAACAGCGTTTTGTGCACCGCTGTTTGACCTTGACCCCAGACAGTCAAGTGTTGCTCTTGTTTGAAGCTTTGGCGCTGTAAGGAAAGCCAATGCACTAACCAGATCCATACCCACTCAACCATGTTTGCTCCCCCCCCCCCCCCCCCCCAGTTTCCCCCTTGTTTCCCCCCCTCCCCTTTTTTTCCAAATGCAAGTCACCATGAAAAAATGTGCTGGTCCAATATTTGCACAGAAGTGGTGCTGGGACAGGCAGATAACCTATCAGTATTTGAGTTTGGCTTCCCATGCTCCAAATAGCCATCCTCCGCCTGTTTAGCTTATTGATTGGCTTGGCAAGAAACTAGGTCCCCTCAGCAGTGACCAAGGTCGTACAACACATGGACTTTGTGCCACCCAGTTACCAACCTCCTCATGTCTGTCTCACATGTGCTCCTCTGTGGAAAACTTGGATTATGCTCTGGACGCTCCAGACAAAATGAGAATCCACGACACTGCATTGTTCTGATGGGTGTTGAGGCTGCCACTTATTTAAACCAGGGGGGTGTTCAAACCATTTTGGTCCGGGGCACAATAACAATAATAAGAACTAGTCCAGGGCCGAAAGAATAGATGGGATTTACTTTTCTTATATCGTTTTATTTTGAAATTATGAAGGTGTTTTGACATGACTTTTACAGTACTGTATGTGACATGAGTTTCATTATAATTTTCGGGCTGATTTTTCTGAAAAAGAAATGTGTTTATTGTTTAGATTTAACCGAAACTGGACCAAATATAACATTTGCTTATGGCTTTATGTTTAACTAATGATGTGTTGGGTTACAACTTTACAATAAATACCATTTGGTGGTTTTCCTGAGAAAATAGATTATGTATAATATACCTTGGTTGCCCTTTACCATCAATGCTGCAAGTTAATAATAATTATCAAATTTTTATGGGGCCACTAAAACATTTTTTGCGGCCGGATTTGGCTCATGGGCCTGAATTTGACAAATAAAATATAACCGTGACCCTTGTAGATAATGAATTAAATAAGCATTCTTTTCTTCTAGTCAAATCAAACATTCTCTGATGAATCTGGACCAGTTTGAACTTAAAAACAGATTTGTCTAATCATTTGTCAAAAAGTTCATTAAGATTTTACTTATTCTATTCGTATTCTGCCTGGACCTCTCAGATTCATTACAGGCTCCTGCATTTCAGTTCAATTTGCCTCGTTTGTGTGCTGTGGCAATGGTCAAAACTTTTCTAGTGAATTAGACCATACCCTCAGACACCAGCTATACCCTCCTTTAATATTTATCAAAGAAAATATTGCAGGACTTTGAGAGTAAAGGAGAGCCATAAGAGGGCAAAACTACAGGGCCTCAGCTTCACATAACAAATTATTTTATTGCTACTCATGTCCATCCATTTTGCATTTTTACAGATGACTGAACATAGTGTCATAATGGTTTCAAGTCCAACAGTTGTATCCATGAGAAAGATAATTTAATGTAATGTTTTTTATTAATCATGCTGAAAACGGAACAAAATATGTTTATAACTGTGAGCGAAAATGCGTCTCCTGACCAGAAAGTTACATGTTGTGACTTGATAGTTAGAGATAAGTTTGCAATTTTTTTTCGATTTCTTTTTGTGTGAACAACTTAACAAACCATACAAAAAGTTCACATTTTTTCACAGATTTCTTTGACAAAAACAGACAACAAATCTTTTAGCAGACAGTCCCATAGGCGGAGGTGTGAGGCAGCTGTATGTGTCCGACATGTGTGTGAGCATGTGTGAGTGACTCTCGTCCTCCTCTCTAACAATCGATGGGATTGAATTCTGAAGGTTTTCTCAGGGGCATCAGCTCTGCCTGTCAATACTGCTCTGTGTCACAAGTGCAGTGTCCCGGGACCTCTCTTACCCCTCCTCCTCTCCCCTTACCCCTCGCACACATCTCCTACTCAGCCCGTCCTCGATTCAACTTGCCCCACTTCCAACCCTTTCACTGGCTTTTCCTTTAAGCACACGGCTCTGCATACTGTACGTCCATTGGCATTGGCTTCAGTGCTTGACAACTTCACTTTTGGTTGCTGTGAAAGAAACAACCCATACACTTCAAGAAGTCTGAAAAAATATGTATAATTGGAAATCAAATGAAAAAGCACCTGAACTAAAAAGAAAAAGAGTCCAGACCATTCCTTAAAATACATTGTGAACCGAGATGTGATCCTGAAATTTCCCCACTGTGGGACAATTAATGGATCTCTCAATCATCCGGATCTGATCTCCTCCAAATTCAAATAACACAAAATTCAAGAAGAAGGTCCTGAATCCCGGTTGGATCAGGGACTTTCTGAATGGAGTTTGCATGTTCTCCTCGCGGGTTTCCTCCACCATTAAACACATGTACAGTAGCTCCCCTCTCTCTGGAGCAAGGACTCCCTTATGATATCTCAGTGGGTGTTTCCTGTTAAAGAACGCTCAATAATAAATAAGTGAGTTTACAGTAATAATTCAGAGGAATCACCTGCTCTGTATTCATACTTGTGGGACTACATTTAAAAATTATCAAATGTAAGGTAATAAATGATTGATCGGTGGTTTGGATCATTCACAGAACAGACAGCTCAAAAGGTCCCTTACATATTTCACAAATTGTCATCTGGCAAATATTTCACACAAAAAAAACACCCTATTTTTGCACACACAGAAAAGAGCAGTCACAGTCCCTGGCAGGTCGTTCTGTTCTCAAGGCACAGCACCAGGACCTGCACCCCAATGTACATAGGCCCAAAACATCATGGGCATCCAGTCACATGGGGCACTTCAGAGACGTCAAAGACATCGCAGCAGCTCCTGGACAGACTGGAAGGTCAGGGCCACCGTCCCAAGCTCTCATGCTTAGGTTTTACTTTTGAATGCGCTGGAAAACGGCTGCATGTCCTAAGTAGATCTGAAACAGTTTCTGTTTTGTGCTTTACAATTTTAATTTTTATTGCTTTTTTCTACCTGAGATGTTGGTGCAGTACAGTGTTCATGATTTTTTACTGGTCCAGACCGGAGCAGAGAGGATTCATGGTCCAAACCAAGCGGATCAGGCGAAAATTTGTTGGAGAAATGCTAACTTTAAAAAAAATGCTGATGAAGCATTTAGCATTTTACTTTCGACTAGTGCAGAGAAAATGGTCCGAACCAAGCGGCCACTCCATCTAGTGACCTGTCCTGCTCCACCCAGAGGCTACTCCACCTCTGCTGCTGTGACCTGAAGGGCTGTTGCTGATTATTACTATTGTTAGCTTTTTAGAATTATCACTTTATTTTATTTTTTTGCTGCTACTGGACACATCTACTGTATCTATCTACTGTATCTATCTATCTATCTATCTATCTATCTTTCATGCTGACACCTTCAGCCCATTGCACAGACACACGTATCATCAGGCGGACCGCTCCCCCATGAAGGCTCTGGAAAACAGGCATCATGCGGCACACGGTCCTATCATGAACACCTGTGGAAAGGGCACCCAGAAACAAAGTACACACGACATGGGAGTGCGAAACGTGCAAAAAGAACAATGTAGTCTGGTGGCAGAGGCATGGCAGTCTGTAGCTTCAAACACACTTTAAACATATCAACAATTCTTCAGCTCCAGGCCATGTCAGTATGACACCTGAGAAATGGCGAATGTCATTGAAACAGATATGGACATTGGTCATCTGCCCCCTGCGGATCAATACCAATGTGTTTTCTGTCATATAATTTCTTGTGTTTGAACTATTGAACTACTGATTCATTGATCTGTGTTGGCGAATTCAACGGTTTTGTCTACTCTTCTGAGAAAACTACTGTTGAGATTTAGGGCTATACAAGAGTAAATTGAATCAATCAGACGAAGTGAGGTCATTTCTGAATGTTAAGGCACTATCCTCCTCAACTAAAAACTTGAAAAAAAGTATATACAGTATAGCCCGTAGACATGGACAAAGCTAACCCTCTAGCTCAATGAAGCCCAATACGGAGCATTATGAACAATGTTTCTCTTCAACTCGCTCTGGCTCCTTTTGAGATTGAAAAGTAAACTTCTCTAGCTCAGTAACCGCTCGTGTCACACATTTCGGGCTTAAAAATCTATAGTTTTGTGCTCTCTATGATCCTGGCTGAGGTGGCTGAGTGGATAGCACTCTCGCTTCTGAGCAAGAAGGTTCTGGGTTTGAATCCCGGTCGGAACAGGGCCTTTCTGAGTGGAGTTTGCATGTTCTCCCCCTGTCTGCGTAGGTTTCCTCTGGGTGCTCCGGTTTCCCCTACCACTAAAAAAATGCACAATAGGTATGACTGTAGATGAGAGATTGTCAGTGTGTTTGGCAAGTCGCTTCATCACCGTGTATGGAGTGATTGGAACAATATCTGAACATTGTAAAGCGCTTTACAATGACCTTGGTCTGTAAAATGTGACATATAAACAAACATTACTTACTACTTACTTGTGCTTTAGTTTAATTCTGTCTTACTAATTCGACATATATGGTTAACTGCCGCTGCTTCGAGTAGATCGTAACAAATGCCCATATAAGGAATTTGACTTCAAATTGCCACTGGTCAAATCGGCTTCTATCCGCATTCGCCTAACTCTGTCACAGGGCTTTTAAGTTCTCACAGGAACAAAATTTGGTAAAATATGAATCCCTCACAGAAAGTCTAGCAGATCAGCGGGGGAAAATCATGGAAGAAATAACAGAACAACCAATAACATTTCCAAAACTGGAGGCTGAGCCAAGTGAGTTTGGGGACATTTTAAATCCACTCAGGAGATCCCCCAATCCCTGATCGAAAGTCTGGTGTAGATTGACATATGTTTCAGGCAAATTTACAAAGAAGATAATTTTAATAATACAGAAATCAACACTCCGCTTGGAAAGGTTACTCACTTGGGAAAACATGAATCATTTCTTATCCAGATGTAACAAAATTGTGAAGCAATTAGGGTGAGAGGGGTATGCACTTATTTGCAATTAAATCCACATCCAAACTTAGTCATGAAGAAAGAATACTGTTCAATGTATTATTTTTTGTTTTTTGTTGATAGATTTCAAAATCATTCAATAAGCATGAGCACATACTCTCTATTGAACTCCGATCATTGTTTTGTCTTGTGTCCTGCTCTTGACATGTAGCTTGCTCTCAGAAAGCGTCAGTGATGAGCACGCTGTGTGATTTATGGCAGCAGCCCCTCCTCTGTCATGCTCCTCCGTGACAGATACAGCTCATACAGTCCTTGCTCGGGAACCCACCACAGGCTCTGCGTCGGGGCATCTCCTAAACCCACCTTCACCCCTCTGTTGATTGCATGTGTGGTTTTTGAGCAGACCTCGGATACCTGCTGAGCCAAAAGTCACATGCAAATTCACACAGACACTATTCTTATCACATAATGGGAGTGCTCTTAAAGGACCCCCTGGGGAGTTTGGTGTGACGGCCCCGTGCAGCACTCGCCCCTGGGCCTCAGCTGTGTTTGTGGAGCAGATCTGGGCTGTTGCCACACGCAGGCTGGCCTCACCGCCTCAGGGCGCACTGCAGGCTATAGCCTGGCCTTAAAGGACATGAGCTACAAGAGATGAGGAGCTGTGCTGGTTCTAAAGCATTTGTACAGCATTGATGTTTGCTTTTTAACTATCTCTCATGTTTGCTCCAGCATTGTCTCTTTATTGTTTATGTTTGGTCAAGTCCAGTTATAAGCGCTGGTAGCCGCTCAAGTCATCAAGAAAACTGCTCGAAATCAATATCTTGTTGGTCAGTGTGCATTTCTGAGAGCCAAGGTGAAATTCTGTTTGAGGATTGTGCTTTGAACTATCATTTGAAACTAAATGAGAGTTTCTGGTCACATCCTAAGTAGGGAACCAAAGTCATGCAATTCATCACATCCAACTGCAACTTATTCTAACTAATCATTTCAGTTTCAGAAACTAGATGATGACATTTTTGAGAAATCCATGCATATGACATATATACAAAAACTAGATACAGCTGGACTAAACCAATCATGTTGATTCCTCAAGACTTCATCTGTGATCCAGGACATTTATGGACTTTATCAACATTTAGTGCACACTTCACCTGCCCCTTATGGACCAACGGCTCTGTGTGTTCTTTTTATCATTGCTTTTTCTGTGTTTGATTCTCTGATCTGTGTTGGCAAATCAACGACATTGTAAAGTCCTCTGAGATAACCACTGTTGTGATATGGAAATTTGTATATACAAGTTGAATCTACAGTATCTACAGTCACCAACCTAACCTCTGAAGAAGCTCTCTGTTTGGTAATTTAAATGGGATCAATGCATACTGTACTACTATAGTCACAGCTGGTTTGGGGCAGAGTAGAGGAAGCGAGGCAACTAATCTGAGCCATCATTCTCACCCACAGACTCATACTTGGCAATGTGAAATGTCCAGTCTAAGGACCCTTACCCGTCTCAGCCATCCCACTGTTACACCAGCTGTCTCCAATCGCTGTACTTCCTGCCCAGCTGTATCTGGTTCCATACTTCAAGTCACAATAAGTACTTATTTGATCTTTACACAACTTATAAAACAGGCCATGGGCTCAGAGAATAACTTTTTATAACTTCAACTAAGGGTTGAAGCAAAATATGTGTGTTTTGTATGACCTGTAGAGTAAATGAAAAGTATTTACTATGTTTCTATTACCTTACTTATTATGAGTATATTTACCAACTTAGCACCACCAATGTCTTCCTCCTCCACTCTACCATGGATGGCCAAACAGGGAGATAATTTAATCAATAAATGAACCACAGTCTCCTCATATGTAATAGCCCATTCATCAAGATGTATCTGGTTTTAATATAGTTTTGTTCCACCCTATTAGCTCACACATTGAACCCAGAGCATATTGTAAGCACTGCAAGTACTGCCTTTTACAGTCTTGGTCTATAAATATGCGCGTTCTTCACCTTTCTGCAACCCGCCACCTTCACACACACTCGTCCCGTCACGCGGTCCGGTGTTAGCTCCCGTCGCTAAACAGCTGTCTGAGATGTGGCACCGTACTGTAGCCCTCGTCCATCACTGTCACCTCCGGATCACCTGCATCCCTTCTCCTCCTTCGCCTCATCCTCTTCTCACTTCCATCAATCAGCATTTTTCACACACAGGGCGATGACAAGGGCACACCCGTCCCCCGGCCATACATCACCTTTATTGGGGGGTGGAGGGGGTGGTTGCGGACCGTGGTGCCACTGCCGTTGTCCCAAACTCCTTCACAAGTTGGGAAGGCGCCAAGTTTGGTCCGCGATGTCCATTCAGCCATTTTGTGTCGTCTGAGTTGAGTGTCTGCTTGTTGATATGTTATGGATAGAAAGAAGCAGCCAGTCGGAAAGGCTCCTATAGGTCAGTTGAGGTTGATGTAAAAATAATTCTATTCCCAAAAACAACAATGGGTGTAATGTGGCACGGTGGATATGGTTTGGTGGAATCTATGGTTGTTCCGTTAAGCACATCACTTGAGTTGAAATACAGTGAAGATGAATGAATGGCCTAAATCAGGCATGTCCAAGCTCAGGCTCGCGGGCTAATTGCGGCCCTGTGTACCATTTTATGTGGCCCTTCTGCTGCTAACACAAAGTTGCCATTGAGTCACTCTATGTACCTTACTGTAAATCTCGGACCCTCTGGAATCCAGTCGTTGACTTTAATGTCACAACATTCCAAATAAAATGCATCTGTGGTGTGAATCAATAAGGATGTATCATCATAACCCATTTGAAATTCAAGAATCCAGTCAATCCAGCTCAAATCCAGTTCTTAAATCCAGGTCGTTGGCCCCAGGTCAAGTATGATGAACTAAAGCAGCCCTCTTACTAAAATGTTTGGACACCCCAGGCCTAAATGATTGTTTCTCTCAGTGTCATACGTGCGTGTGTATTTAAGATCATTCTTGTCCTATGCTTTTCAATTATTGTGATATTAGATATGGATATTTTATAACACTTTTAAGCAGCACCTTTTGGAGCGTCTTCGATTCATCCATGCTTAAAAATAACTTTTATTCTGAAAATCCTTGGTCTCGTCGTTTTAACATCAATAAAACGTCTTCTGTCTGTGACATGACCCCAGACCCCGCGACATTTTCTTCAGTTGGTGGAGGACGCGGGCATTGTTGAAAAAGCCAACATCAGCAGAAAATGTGAGAACCATTGGTCTCAATCCAGGGTGACAAACTGGTTCCAGAAAGGGCTGCTGGGCTTTAATCCAAACAAGCAGCAGCTCTCCAAACTCCACCCATATCCTCAAGTCTTCAGGTAAAGACTGGAATTGAGGAAATGGATGGAGCCCTTTGAGGACCAGTTTGACACCCCTGTTCTAAATACTGCCGTTTGGGGGTATTTTCTCAAACTATTGTCAAGTTAGTAATGATTTCAGGATAGAACCAGTTAAACTGCATTTCGAATTGTGAACTAAATATGTCCACAAAACATTATACAAAGAAAATAAATATACAAAAACGAACCAACAGTACAATCGCATCAGTTTATGGATTCTTCAAAATGTGGAAAAATATGAGCACGACAGCCCATTGTCATATAAATTTACTGATGGTATTGGAACAGAGATCGACTACAAACTTTTGAATGTTGGGATCTTGTTCTGTTCTCTCATTAAGATGATATATAGCATTTAGAAAAAGCAAACGGCAATTGGTTCAAATCTCATGCAATTTTAATAAAATCTTTTAAAAATACCCATCTACCCATGGACCAATAGATCCTATGTGTTTGTGATTCAATTTATTTTCAATTTATTGTATAGCCCCAAATCACAACAGTAGGTATGTTGGAGGACTTTACAAAACCATTGAATTCGCCAACACAATCCAACAGTACAAACACAATAAATGTAACGACACATTGGTCCATACGGGGCAGATGACCGATGTCCATAAACGTTGATAAGTGTCCTTAGACGTCTTGAATGTTGTCAATTGCATTCCCTGTGTTCGAACTGTTTGATTCTCTGATCTGTTGTTGGAAAATTGACCACCGGCTATACAAAAATACATTGAATTGATTTGAATTGAAAAGTTTACACACATGACTGTAAAATGGCCCAAACAAAGAACCTCATCCGTGATATTTTGTGTTTTCCATTCTGCTTTAAACACTCCAAAAGTTGTGCTAAAGAACCTTGAGGGGAAGCGCTTTGGTCCAGTCCCATGCGACGCGCAGCTGTACACCTCTACCTCCTTCTCGATGTCCTCCCTCGTCCTCCTCTGTCCGCTCCTGCAACACCTGTTTTTCTCCACTTCTCACACCTGGACTCTATTCTTGGCTTTTTTGTTTACTGCTTGTGTTTTTCCAAAGTCTACCCCCTCCTCTCCTCTTTCTGTGCAGCTCCCACCATCTATCACTCACTCCCTCCTTCTCTCACCTCTCCACTGTCTGCCCTTGCTCTGGCTCTCCTCTGGCTCACCTCTCATTAAGCCCCCGTGCCTACTGCCACCATGCCCAGTGTCCACCCACTCGTCTCACACCTCTTTTTGTCTCTTATCAGTGTCCTCTGGTACAGACAACCTTCCAAAATTAGCCTTTGTCTTCCCTTTTTGAACATTATACATATGTATAGGTCATTATCCATACAGTATCATTAAGCAATATGTAGTGCTGTGTGGGTTGGGATAATGTCGATGATGTTTATAATTTTGTTCTTAAAAAAATGAGGTGTGGAAGACGAGGTTTACGTGAAAATGTGAAAGATGTCAGAAGTAAAAGTTGTGATGTGACAGGCCTATAGGTACAAAACAATGCTGCTCCACACTGCAAATTTAGTCAAACTTACCAAGATTTACTGTAATCACTTAAATAATCTCTCATTTTGAGCAAAATTTACTGAATATCACTTACCCCACTGGCAGATCATTTCACTTATTTCTAGTGCTTTGTCACTTAGAATAAGGGTATTTTTCCAGTTTTGAGAGGGGCTATCTTTACAGAGCATAAAACATTTGGTTTGTGGGAGAGTGTTGAAATTACAACCTGCAATAATTAAACTATACCAAAGATACTGCTATTCACAAAAAATCTCTTCTTGGTGAATGTGAATAGATAGATAGATATAGACAGACAGACAGACAGACAGACAGACAGACCGACAGACAGACAGACAGACAGATAGATAGATAGATAGATAGATAGATAGATAGATAGATAGATAGATAGTGTAGAATCTGAGCTGCATATTTTCTGTATTACTGCTAAAAAATTATTACCTGAAGCTGTGTACGTCTTTGTTCTGGCCCACATTGTTACTACAGTATCTGAATCATGCGTCATTAATATCTCAAGTGTTCTTATTCACATTGATACAAATCATCCAAAAAGCTTCGTTTCCTTTTGTTCGATCTGAAGGGACTTGAAAACAAACCGTGTAACAGTTGCGATTGCCGCTGCCTTGTCTTCATTTCTTGACGATAGATAGATAGATACTTTATTGATCCCCCGTAGGAGAATTTCAGACGTCGAGCAGCAGAAACACGTCCATCCATACACACAAAGAGATAATCATTCTTAAAGTTACACACAAAAGTCCAAAGCATCAGGAATACAGTAGATTCCAATTACTGTATGATGCCCAAACCAAATAACTGCTACCACAATCTAGTGTGTTGTATACCTAAAATATGTATTGTAAATGTCTTGTTACCAACAGCCTTTGTCCATTGATATATCCTAACAACATATCAGCAAGTAAAGCTCAGCCACCTTACCTTGACCACTGCGCTCCTGCATTGATTACCGCCTGTACTTCTTTGCTCCCAAACACTGTGCATCACAAAGAGCGCGCTGTCCGTGAAGGGCTAAAATAATTGTTTATAATAGCCCCTCCACTTGCGATGACGAGAGTGTGTTTTAGGGTGTACATGAGAGCCAAAGCTTTGTGCAAGGCTAATTTCCTTTCTCGGCGTAAGTGGTCAAGGTTCGGCGTTTTTAAAATGTTTGCCCGAACGAGCCATTGTTTCAGGAGATGCGCCAGTGTCCGCGCAGAGAGCTTCTACCCTCGTCCGCCCTCTTGAGGAACAATGGAATACACTTCAGATATGCCGCCTATGAAGTATATGTTTGTGAGAGTTTATGAGAGCTCTCGGACAATCCTAAAAATGTTACACAATGTGAAGAAAGCATCCAGGCGTGAAGAGAAGCGATTCGGTCCTCGCGGGTACTCTTGACATTCACAAATAATTACATGCGCCGAGGTGGCCCGTATAGTCGGCCCGAGGTGGGAGAACAGGAGAATGATAGAGAGGAAACACAATGTAATGTTAGTGTTTTGTTAAACATGAAAGCTTGCTAACAGCTACGGTAAACAGGAGCGGTGCCAAGGCTCACAGGTGTCATCTGGATCCTGGAAGGGAGCCACGCAGAGATGACTCCAGGCCTCTCTGAAGGCTGCTGCAAGACTCTACAGCAGGAGAAGGGAAGGGCAAAGAGCAGTGCAGACAGAGGGAGGAGGAAGAAAGACCACCTGTGATCAAGGATTTACATAAACCTGACTGTGTGATGTGCAGGCGAGTTACTTCTTAAAGCAGCATTTTATTGTAGACTCTGGCTCTGGAGACTTTGTGCAGACAACCCGGTCCTGCAGACTTCTTCCTGGGAGATATCAATCCAAAAAGGCTGTGAGGCTTATCCACTCAGCCACTATGACAAATATAATAAAAACCCTGTCTTAAAATCGCTTTTTTGACCTAAAATGAATTCATTAAAAAGACAAGGCCACGCACTTCTGCATTTTATCCCTATTTGTTGTCCTCTGAGATAACTGCTGTTGTGATTTCGGGTATTATATTGTAAAAAATGCTTCCTTACAACTTGTGGTCAATGGATCAAACCCTTGAAGGATGTTCTCTTACCAGAGGACACATGTTTTACCAAGTCCCTGTTTCTTTGATTGCTATTGCTGCTCTGGGAAACAAACTGTGACTACTGTAACCCAACTTTCCAAAAGTAGCAGAGTGTGTTCAGTGTCAAAGTTTAGTCACACTGCTCTGGGTGGTCGCTGGTTACACTGCTCGAAGATGCTCCATCCGTTAGATTCATGAGCAAGCACTGTCTGTGACCCTTGAAATACAGTTGAGTGTTTCGTTGACCTCATTTACCCACCTACAACAAACTTTACCAAGTGAATCAGTACAATAACAAGAAAATGTGTGACAAAAACAGCCACGATTAAACACAGAAGCAATCTCTATCTCCAAGGTACTGTATGAGCCGATGCAATCCCCAACAACCGCAAACTCCTGCTGACGGATAAACCTTGCCAAAGAAAATAGGTT